TTACCAACTAAGCTAACTTAGCATAGTATCCTATACAAAAACAAAAAGGCTTACAGGAAATATTTGTGACAGTAGTAATGGCTGTTTTGTATTCTTTTATGTGATGGTAGTCGGGTGTGGCCACAAGAGGAGACAGAGGAGAGGCTCAGGAAAAAAACAGCGCTTATTGTACTCGCAGGTCCTAGAGACAGGAGTCCCAGTATGCTAGTCAGGGCCAATTCAGGGAGACACCAGGGTGGTCATGAGGCAGGACCAAGGGGAAGGTTCAGGCCACTGCCTTTACACAGGAAGAGCAAGGCAGGGCAGGGTGAACAGTTAAGGATTGGCTAGTTTGAATGATTTCAGTAGGCTCTGTAGGGGTGCTCCCTAGTTGCCTGGTTCCTGGCCCCTGGGTGATTAAGGAAGAGGAATATAGCTTCCTGGGATGGAAGGGACAAAAAGAGGAGATCTGGCTCTGGATTGGTTAGCTTGCATATCAAAGACATGTTCCTGGTTGAGCCCTTGCTGTCTCTAAGGATTGGCCAGCTCCAAGAGGGGCAGGCTCTCCCCAGCCAGAAAGGTTTTTTAAAATGTCAAAACATCATAATATACAGAAAATAAAATGTACAGTTGACCTTTGAACAACATGGGTTTGAACTGCACAGGTTCACTTATAAGTGGATTTTTTTCCGATAAATATATTGGAAAATGTTTTGGAGATTTTTGACAATTTGAAAAAACTGAACGAACCACATGGCCTAAAAATATTGAAAAAAAAATAAGAACAAGTTAGGTATGTCATAAATGCATAAAATACTGGTATATTTTATCATTTACTACCATAAAGTATACGTAAATCTATTATAAAAAGTTAAACCTTATCAAAACTTACCCACACAAACACAGACCATACATGGAGCCATTTGCAGTTGAAAGAAATGTAAACAAACGTAAAGATGCAGTATTGAATTATAACTGCATGAAATTAACAGTAATACATACTGTACTGCTGTGATAATTTTGTAGCCAGTATGTACTCCTGTTGCTATTATGGTGAGCTCAAGTGTTGCAAGTGTCTGCTTAAAATGCCAGGTAACACAAGTTATCTCCACGTGAGCAGTTGTCTCTTCAGTGAATTGTGTATCACAATAAAAAGTGATCTCTGGTGGTTCTTGCATATTTTTCTTCGTGGTTAGCGCAATACCCAAAACCTTGAGCAACACCATGAGACCCATATGAAGTGCCACTAGTGATGCTGGAAGTGCCGTCAAGAAGCAAAGTCATGATGTTACCAGAAAAAGTTGAATTGCTTAATATGTCCCGTAGATTGAGGTCTGCAGCTGTGGTTGCCTACTGTTTCAGACAGACAATTCACACAGATGGCATAAACTCACAGTATTGATAAATACAGTACTGTAAATGTATTTTCTCTTCCTTATGATTTTCTTAACATTTTCTCTTCTCTAGCTAGCTTTATTGTAAGGATACAGTATATAGTGCGTGTAACATACAAAATGTGTGTTAATTGACTGTTTTTGTTCTCGGAATTCTGGTCAACAGTAGGCTATTAGTAGTTAAGGTTTGGGGAAAGTAAAAGTTATATGTGGATTTTCAACTATGCTGGGGTCGGCGCCCCTAACCCCTGCATTGTTTAAGGGTCAACTGTATATACAGTACAATGGCCAAGACTTTGAGCTGGCAAGAAGGAGGTTTATAAGTATGACTAACTGAACAGAAGTATGTCTCCAAGCTCTACTTTTTGGTTTTGGCCTTCAATCTCTCCTTTTGCTTTCTCTGCACTCTTTCTCATACTTTGAATTTTTTAAACAGTTTGGCTTTCTCACATGATTTTCTTCTCTTTTCTTTTTTTTTCCTTTTTTTCTCCCTCCCTCCCTCCCTCCCTCCCTTCCTTCCTTCCTTCCTTCCTTCCTTCCTCCCTTCCTCCCTTCCTTCCTTCCTTCCTTCCATTCATCCATCTTGGGGCTCTAGGTGAGTTCTTCACCATTTATTTAACAGACACTTCTACTAGTCTTACTATATACCATGTATTTTTCTAAGCATTTTATTTTCTAAGCATATTATTTCCTTATAACAATCCTGTGAGTTGGGTACTACTATGGTTCCCATTGTACAGATGGGGGAACTCTCATAGGACTTTCTAGTGCCCAATATCCATTTCTTATACCCAATAGAAATCTTGGTGGCAGGCCAGAGGCAAGTATAAAATAAAAACAAAAGGCTTTGCCTCTGATTTGATCAGTCATTTACCTGTAGGGCTGTGCTTTGTGTCTGTAGAGGACAGTGTAGTTGTGTGATCAGTGCGGATTTGCCACAAAACACAGAATGGGTTTCATTGCCTCTAGGCATGACTTCATCTTCCCTGCCCCATAGGCATCCCAGAACTTTTCCCTGCCTAGCTTGTAGCCATACACACACACACGGAATGTGTCTAACATTCATACTGTGGATTTGAAGTGGGGTACAGTGGCAAAACCACAGACCTGAAACTTGGTGAGAGCTGTGTGTGACTTCAGTCTCTGCCACTTGTTATCTGTGAGATCTTGGGACAGTCACTTAATCATTTGGAACTTTGGTTTTCTCAGCTATGAAATGAAAAAGATGATGATGATTATATTAAAAACTGAGAGGATTGAATGAGATGATGTATTTGAATTCTTAGTCCAGTGATTTATACATAGAAATGCTCAATACATGTTAGAAATTTTTAGAATTATTAATATGCAAGACTTCTTTATATATTAAAGATAATTCACCCTTTGGCATATATGTAGCTTGTATAACTGAATTTTGAGAACCCAGAACAAGGCTTATCTTTATCTAGGAAATTATTAGTTGTTTTGAATCTTTATGTTAGTTTTACCTTCTTTATCTTTGGCCTTCCATGGGCACTTAGAATCAATTCCATCATCCTCAAGATTTGATTTTTGGTGCTGAAATGTCTAATTGGCCTTATACAAATACAAACATTCCTTTGAGGTCCATGGCAAAGCCTGGCACTGGAATCCAGCTTTACCTGGAATATTAATGTGATTTTTCCTCTCTCAGGGTGAGCCTTTATGTTGTAGCTGCTACATAGGAGGGCTCGGGCAGGGTTAAGCCAGACTCTACTTGACCCCAGGCCTAGAATGGCTATTAATGGCTCCTGCTCTAGGCACTGAGGCTTGAGCCAGAGTTTTCAGTACTCTGTTTATGAGAGCAGGGGGCACCCCCTTGAATAACTCTGCTGCAAACGCATAGTAGCCTGGCTAGCCAAGGAGGCAGGACTGACATTGCATTGGTTGTGCCTCCTCCTTTTTATGACCAAGCCAAGCACTATTAACTTGTAGGACTGTGATGTCCTGGCATGGCCAAAGAACCTTATCCAGTTCAATCATCCCTGAAATCTTATTAAGTCCAGGGCAGGGGAATGAAGGAGGAGGTACAGAGAACCCTGAAATCAAAAGGAAGGAAAAAGGAGCATCCCTGATTCTCCACCTGAGGTCATACTTTGGCAGGAGGAAGGGAGAAAGGCTCTGATATAAGACAGCAAGAGGAATAGAAGAGTTTGTGGTCTGGAGTCAGGTAAGCTTGGGTTTGAATCCTGGCTCTACTATCTTATATGTGGTGTTGACCAGATTACCCCACTTCTTTGAACCTGGTTTCCTCATCAACAAAATGGGAAAAGTTATTGTATCTATCTCAGAAGATTGCTGTAAAAATTAAGCAAGAGAGTTTATATAAAGCAGTTGGATACTTGCCTGGAATATATTTTTCTCCCCTCTGGTCTTTGATTCAGGATGCCTGGAATAGATTAAGTGCATATCATCACTATGATCGAGGCTTTGATGACAGAACAGCAGGAAGAAACAGACTGGGAGAAATGAAAAGCAGCCTCTGGGGTCTCCTTGTAATGTCTCTTAGAATTATGCACACATCTTTGAGTTCCAAGAGAAGAGCTAAAGTTCTAGGGGGTCTTCAATGTATGGACTGCTTTCCTAGTCAGGGCATAGGAGGTATGGAGGTATCCTGTTATCATAGGGCTGCTCTGTGTGTGTGTGTGTGTGTGTGTGTGTGAGTGAGAGAGGGAGAGAGAATGAACCCCAGCTAGTATCTTGAGTTCTAAGAGGTACATTGACTCTGTGGTGTCTTTGATGGGTCTGTGACCCATCAAATCAGCTTTTCTTCAAGAAGAACAGACTGTCATTCTTTGTGTCTCCCTTAATAGTAAAGACCCATTTGTCTTGAATAATGAAGGAAGCTACTTAACTGCATTCCCAGAGTCCTCACAAGCAGGGTTTGTTCCTGAGTTCATTGTTTCTAGTATGTATGCATTTTAACAAGGCTGGGATTGGGAAACAGTATCACTACCTGATGCTGGAAACCAGTGGTTTTCTTCTTCTTTTCTTTCTCGTTTTGCTTTTAAGTCACAGAGCCCAATATGTAAACCAGATCGAAGATAGCCTGCAAGGCTGCCACTTTTGAGCTCCCTGTCTCCTGCAGCAACTCCCGAAGGCATTTCTAAGAAAATGGGGAAGCACAATTTGCAAAACACTGAAGTTGGCTCCCTGGGTTGTACTAGCCTTTTTCTAGCCATTTCTCTGTTTGGGGAAAAGGATTGGACATGGCTGTGTAAATAAGCAGCTATGTTATAATAAATAGGTTTCTACTGTAATAACAGAGCGCCTAGCTACTGCAGTTCTCCTTTTCTAATGCCACCCGAGCTGCGGCAATTGAAGCTGTTGATTAGAGCTAACTGGACGTTTAGGGAGCACAGAGCTCGTTATGAAATAAGGTACTGTCACCAAAGTGTGTTCAGGAAGTGTTTGGGGGATTCCAGGCCAGTGATGGTGCCCTTCAGAACATTTCAGTTAATACAAAATATGCCACTTTTAATTTATTTTGTGTGCGTGCAAACTCTAGTGCTGTTTTCCACAGAGAGCCACTTGTAATCGCACATGTGTTTTTCCACCTCTGCATCAGAGTCTGAATGTGACCTGAACTCTGTCTTCTCCTCCTTCTAGGCTACAGATGCACATGTTGAATGGGGCTCTTCTGGCATTGCTGTTTCCTGTGGTAAATACTCGGCTGGTAAGTAGTTTTTTCTAGGAATGTACCAGCAACACGCAAAACAGTATTTACTTGCACCTTCATTATCTGGCGCTTGGCCTCATTCTTAACCCATATGCCCATGTAATTTTAAAAATGTAGTTAATGTTGAGGTCTGATGCAGTCCTGTTCGGATGCAGTGGAATTCGATGGGGGTGGGAGTATTTTGTGGAACTCTGGAGCTGCAATAAGTGTTTAGATCAGAACTAGGACAGAGCAAAAAAGCTGACAGAAACTCCTGGAGAGGTTTAGCGGAAAGAAAGGAGCTTCCAGGTATTCTAAGGGACTGTCATATAGACTCAGCCACAATGGCCTAGAATAATCTGCTGGGGAGCCTCAAAGCCTGTTCACTTCAGCAAGACTCCCCTTGGGCAAGAATTAGATGCTTTCCCTGTTCAACCAAACCCACGAGCCAGTCTGAGTCACACAACCCCCAGTGGCTAGCAGGGAGAATCCCACTCTAGTGGGAGGCTGAGTGACAAACCAGCTTAGAGACGGAGGGAGTACCACACCACATTAGAAACCTCAGAAAACGAAATCACCTGTAAAATCATTACTACTGCTTTCTATTTTCATGACTAAAATTTCGCTTAAACATTCAGATCATAGTTTAAACCTTGAAATGACAATCCTTTTTTTCGGATAGAATTTTATAGTTTACAAGGTCTTTTCACATAACAGTGTGTGAGGTACATAGGGCAAGTATCATTTCCTTTTGTTTTACAGAGGAAGAAACCGATGCTCATGGAGTCACAAAAGTTCTAATGGCAGTGTTACGACTGGAGCCTAAGCCTCTTGATCCTAAAACCACAGCTGTGCTTTGCTCTCTCCCCACAAATACTCATGTATACCTTTATGATAGTTATATTTTTCTAGATGCATCTTATACAATCAGCAGAAATTAAAAGAGAAAAAGCATTCATCTAAAGCAGTGATTTTTGAACTCTATGCTCTAAGCTCACCTAATTAGCTTGATTTAATCATTCCACAACGTAAACATGTATCAAAACATAACCTTGTACCCCATAAGCATATATAATTATTTGTCAATTAAAAATGAAATTAAAAACAAACTAATGAAAACAAATAGCACGACACTGAAGTCCTGCTCTACACTTGGACAGTCTGAGTTCGTGATCTGTGAAGAAGCCTGGGCATCGTGTTTTAAAAAGCTCCCCAGGTGATTCTAACATGGAGCTGGAGTTGAGAACCACTGATTTCGTGCAATGGTTCTGAAACTTCATGTCCATAGCAATCACCTGAGGGGCTTACCAGGCCCCCATCCCCAGAAGGTCTGTTGGAGAGGGTCTGGGCCGGGTAATGGCAGGGAATGAACAAGCCTCTAAGTGATGATGATGTAGGGCTCCCCAGACTACTCCTGGAGAATCGGTGTCCTAGGCACTCATAACTCAAAGTCACTCTAAGCATGGTCCGAGGACCAGCATCCCAGGGGTGCTGCTTGTTAGACATGCAGAGTTTCAGGCCCCACCCCAGACCTACTGTATCAGAATCTACATTTTTAACAGGACTCCCAAGGTAGCTTATATAGACTAGACCTTTTCTTCCAAAGAGCACAAAGCACCTTATAGACAGACCATTTGAGCCCCCGATGAGTGGAACATCCAGGTGGGGGAGGGAAGGCGGTGCTTTCTGTGTCTTCATAGGCAGGGTATATTTTGTTCAGCCTTCCCCTGTGAGCTGGGTTAAGCAGGCGCATGCTGCTGATGTGGGCACTGGTGCTGTCCCTTCTACATCCCCCATCATACACGACTTGCTTGACTGCAGCTGGTGAACTGCAGCCTGAGAACTTCTGTCTTGGTTTCAGAGCTAGAGGCACCAAAGAATGGTTCAAAGAAACCAAATTGAAAACCTCACACTTAAAAAGAAAAAAAATGGCTGATTTCACACACCACAGCATTATTCCATGCTGGCTGAAGGATGTGGAGCAGTGTCGGAGCAGAAGTTACTCCCTGCCTGTGGAGGTAACCTGCGAGGGCAAAGAAGTAGATCCAGTGCTATCTTATCCCATCGCTCTGCTCCCCTTGTTCCTGCTTTCTCAGAAGACTGAGAGGTCAGGCAGGTAGAAAGCTGCTTTCTCAATTTTCAGCAGCTCTATCAGATCCCAGGAGAGGGAGGCACATCGGAGGATTTCTCCCTGGGCTAATAGAGTTAGTGATCCTGAGTTCGAGTGCTTCCAGTCCACAACTCTGGCCAGATAGTCTCTGCTGTCACTTGAGGTGGATATGGTTCCTCCAGACAGGCCACCTTCATTCAGCTCTCTTCCTAGTGGGACCTTTCTCCCAGTGAAAACCAAATAGCCTTCTTCTTGCAGAGCCATGGAGCATAAACAGAAGTTATGGTTCCCATTGTACGAGCATGAAAATAAAGGCCCCGAAGGGCCCAGTCACATGCCCGAGGTCAGTTAGAAAGCTAGTGGTGACGTTTTCATCCAGTCAATAATGTATAGGTATATACAGCAAAGATACATACCTCATTAGGTCTGCTGGTAGTTCCCGAGCCCCTTTGTCAGTAACGGCAGCAACAATATCAACTGCCAGTTCTTGAGTGCCTACTGTGTGCCAGGTACTCTTCTAAGTGCTTTACATGGATTACTCTATTTAGTCCTTACCGTAAACTTATGAGGAAAGGTGCTGTTATTATTCCCAAGATCAAGGTGCCAGCAGGGTTGGTTTCCTCTGAGGCCTCTCTCCTTGGCTTGCAGATGGCCACCCTCTTGCTGCCTCTTCCTGTGATCGCCTCTCTGTGCACACAAATCCCTAAGTGTCTCTTTGTGTCGCCAAATCTCCTTCTCTTACAGACGCCCATAAGACTGGATAAGAGCCCACTCTAATGGCCTCCTTTAAACTTAATCACTGCTTTGAAGGCCCTGTCTTGAGATACTGTACAGTCACATTCTGAAGTACTGGGGATTAGGGCTTCAACATCTGAATTTTGGGGGTACAAAATTTCAGCCCATGGCACATACACTACCCTACGCCTGCAGTCCCCAAACCCTGGTGCTCAGACCCGTACCAGTCCATGGCCTGTTAGGGACCAGGCTGCAGAGCTCTGCCACCCTCCCACTCCCCACTGTCTGTGGAAAAATTGTCTTCCATGAAACTTAGGAACTAGGGGAAGGGGAAACAGCAGGAGGTGAGTGGCAGGTGAGAGGGTCTGTGGAAAAATTATCTTCCATGAAACTAGTCCCTGGTGCCAAAAAGGTTGGGGACTGCTGCCCTACACAGAAAACATTGTTTCTCCCCCCACCCTGCTTTCCTTGTCTCTCTCTCTTTCCCTCCCTTCCTCCCTTTCCTTTCCTCTTCTTCCCTTCTCTCCTGGCAGATACACTATTATGTCTGTTACATCAATAGCTAATACTTCCCAAATAAATGTCAAGCTATAGCCAACCAACTTACCAAGAATGTTCAAGAAATTTTCCCTGACATTGAAACTTCTTTGATGGATTGTCTCTTAACTAGTGACTGCAATCACTCTGGTGAATCTTTGCACTCTTTTTCTAAAACGATGCTGAGAAAAGCTCGGGCTGTTTCCATTTGCATGTGTCTTTGCGATTGCTTTAGGTCTGGTTCCTTTAGATGTTTGGGATCCCTCCTGGACTACTCTGGCCTTCAGGGCTTTTTGCTTTGCAGCCCCTTAGTTGAGCTCAGATTGACTTCAAACGAGACACATGAAAATTGGCAACTCACTCTTAAACCTGATGATCTAATTAAGCAGGAAGCCAGCTTTTGACTTTTCTTTTGCCCTTCCTTCTTGGCCCTTTATCTTTTTAATCCTTTTCTTTTCTTTTTTTTTTTTTTTTTGCTCATTAGCAGTAATGAGGAAGCAAGAAAAATAAAATGAACTAATTAGTGTGTGTGCCAGTACAACAGACATACATACACTCAAATACAGAAAGACAGAGTGAAAGGGAGCTGGAGGTAGTGGCCACAGTCAGCTAAAGGATTTGGGGTCATCAGTGAATTTCCGTGTGCTCTACTGTGCCCTGTGATTTACTGGCACTTGGATTTGCAAATCAGCTAGAGGATACCCAGGCTTCAGTTCCTTCTGGTTCACTGTCTTCAAAACTGACACCCTAGAAGAAGGACCGTGTATTCCAATGGCGGATATTACAAGTAAGTGCTCTCCGCAGCCAGGATTCTAGAGAAGGTCTCTTTCTGGCTTCAGATGAAATGTCTTAAGAGCAATTTCCAGTGATATGCCCTTATGTTTCTTAGAAGGAAGGAGGGGAAATGCATCATGGAACTACTGATTATTAGATTAGCACAGAGCTTAAAGCTTGTCTGATCTAATCTTATCTTCCAGAGGTAGGAATTTAGGAGAATAAATGACTTAAGAAGCCAAGGTGGGTGCCCCTAGAACCTGCATCTCCTGACTCAGACTTCAGACTTTTTTTTAATTTCATGACTGAAATTCAGAGCAACTTTGTATGCTGGTGAGGCAGAATGCTAGAGATGCTTCTTAGCTTCCCTTCATCTAAGAGTTACAGGCTTTTCTGAGTAGTGAAGAGAACTGTAGAGCTTCTTTCCAGATAAATGCACAAGCATACAATTTTGCAGACAATTCCAGGAGGGACACAGACTACCACCTCCTGTCCTTCCCCCTGTTTCTCCTGCAAGGTTATCTATGGATCCCATGTTCAGATCCCCCTGCATAGGCTATCAATAGTACATAGCTTAGAGAATAGATGTGTCATCTAGTTTATGAGTTCCTTATTATAGCCACTGGCCCTTTGTTGTGATGGTCATGCTGGGTTCCTTATCTATGCCTGTGACTTTGCAAAGAACATCATCCAATCCAGGCTATACCACCTTTTGGAAAGTAAAAGCCAAGAGGTGGGAGCTAGGTAGGGTGCCCATGGAACCTGGTTACATATTATGTTTTCAGTTACAGTTCCAACCTTGCAAAGCTGATAATCTAGTCCTGCAATGAGGCATGGGGCCCATGGTGCATCGCTAGCCCTC